TTGAGATCAAAACAGCATTCTTGATGGATTTTGCTTTATATTAGTAGTTGAGGAATCATGACTCTACTGAAATCAATGGCAAGCAACTACAGTTCCAAAATGGAGGAAAACTGTGTGTGCTTGTGTAAGCTGGGAGAGGGACATTGGTGATGAGAAGGGAAATCTAAGAAGTGTTGGGAAAAAACAAATTGTGAGGTTGAGTTCATGACATCTTCATTACTGCACTGCTAAAAACCTTACAGTAAAAGTCGTTTTCTTATATGTATGTGAAACTGCAGAACTAATGCATATGAAAAGCTGAGACATGCAATCCTTTATGCTAATTCATTAAGAATACAGTTAATTACTTGCCTGTAAGCACAAGTTCTCTTTTTTCTTTTCCATTTATGTTTTAATCTGCATGTAAGATCTGAACTGTTAATTAGGAATTGAGAATGAAGCCTTGTAGTTAGGAGTGTGATAAAATTTCTTGTCCAGGGGGCTCACAGGTGGAAATATTTTTAATGAAAATTCTTTGCTGGGCTGAATAAGACTGGGGTTGGGGTCATCTTGGTCCATTCCTGTCCAGAACTCATCACAGATAAGGTGTTTCCCTGCTTAATGCACAGCTGCAGAACAGGAAAGGTATTTTCAAAGGAGTTAAGTGATGTGTGACTGCAGGAGGCAGCGACAAGGAGCTGAAGTTTGGCGGAGGAACAAGGCTCAGCGTTACAGTGAGTAAGTGCATGCTCTGAACAAATGGCTTTGAGAAGAGCTGGCAAATGTGGTGCTTGGAAATGGTACTTCACAGTGATCCTGGTAAGGGATCCACATCCTCTACTTTTAGGGCAGGATGAGTGTGTGCTGGAACTTTTAGTTCGAGGTCTACCAAGAGAAGTGCTGGAGTCTGTACCTAGTACTACAAAAGTACTAAGAAACAGATGGATATGACGTTTAGTGGTGAATTTAGTAGTGGTAGGTTGGTGGTGGTTGGACTTGATCTTTTCCAACCTGATTCTACAATTCTGACAACTCCAGTCCCCAGTCATGAGACATTTTTTTTTTTTTGCCAAGGAGATTTTGACTGTGTTTATTCAGGAAGCGCAGACAGGCTCAGCTTTGGAAGAGGAACGAGGCTGCTGGTGAAGCACAGTAGGTATCTTGTCACAAGCACAATCACCTAAAAACAGAGTACTTAGTTTGCTGTATTTGTTTGTAAAGGAAGCAAAATGGAATAAGCAGGGTGTATTTTTGGGCAGATCAGAGAATTGGAATCAGGAAAGACACTTGGAAGGAATGTGCAGTGTGCAGGAGGGCCATCTGAAGATTGATCTGATGTTGAAAGTGCAGTTTGCTAACAATTCTTGCATCTTTTCTTGTATGGATGAAGGAGAAAATGTACAGTTGTTGGTGGACTCTGTCAAAGTTTAAAGGCCAATTAGGAACGTCTTCAAAGGAAATGTATGATGAATTTGTCAAGGAACTCACTTGGGAAGACTGTACGTTTGTTGTTGTTTGAAGCCACGTAAAAAAAAAAAGCTCGAGGTTTTTGTTGTGAAAACAAAGACTGTGTGAATTCTGCCTCTGGAGGAAAATTCACCTTCGTAAGTGGAGTTCAACTAAGAGTGAAACCAAGTAAGTTTTAAGCCACTTTCTGCTCAGTGTTGAATAACTTTAAGCAAACAAACACACAAAAAATACCCACCAACCCCTAATTTACTAAAAGACCCACGTCTATTGGGATTGATTTTCCACTTGGTGTGTGTTGCAGGGTGTTCCCTCCATAGAGTGGTCAGAAGAGCATGACCAGAAGGACACCTGAATTTGGAGTCAGGGGCAGGGGGCAAGGGAAACATCTGCTGTCCCCCTGCATTGTTCTGGGGATCCTGATTCTGTTTCTGGAGTGTAGGGTTGTCTGTAGATTTTGCCATTGTGTGAGTTCAGAACCCAGCAGGAAGGAGACCCTTGGAAGTGGGACATGATTGATGGTGAGACCTGGTAGGGAAGCACTGTTAGTTCTCAAGTGACTGGATGGGCTTTTTGTTAAGGAAAGCAATGCTGTGTGAATACAGGATCCAGCTACATGAAGCTGACATTTGGCACAGGGACCAGACTCTCTGTTCAACCCCGTGAGTGCATGGTTTCCATAGGTGCCTTTTGCAATAGATGTAACTTTATGTTCCCATATGTATTTCAGACTAGCAGAGATGAAATTTCTTCTCTGCCATTGCAGATTCCAGCATGTCTTTGTTGCTGCAGTTATGGTGTGATGGGAGCAGAGCTGAACTGCAGATTTAAGCTTTTGGAACGGATCACCTGAGAGTTTTTTGGGAAGGGTTTTGGCCAGCTACAGTAAGGGCTGCGTGTTATGGAGTGAGGAGAGTGTTTGTGTAAGGGCTTGTGTTGCTGTGAGTGATGGCGTGAGCAGGCTGTCCTTTGGAGCTGGAACAAAACTACACGTAATGCCGTGTGAGTAGCGTTGGTCCCGTTTTCAAGCCTTGCAGGTTGATCCAGAAATACCAACAGTGTTAGCACGTTCATGTAGGACAGGCTTTCTGTGAGCATGCATGGTCCTGTGCCTGCTGTCTGGCTATGGAAAGGAGCTGCAGTGTGATGTGGGAGCAAAGGGAGACAGAGCAGAATTTTATATTTGAGCAGAGAAGGCAATTTGCAAAGCAAGGTCAGTGCTGTGCACTGGGAGAAGATCCTGAATAAGCACAGGGGCAAATATCTCCTGCCTAAGGGCAGTGTTGGTGGCAGAGCCACTCTTGTTGGGAAATAGTTTGTGAGAAAGGATTTTGCAAATCTCATAGGAACTATTTGCTTTGTCCTTCACCATTTATTTTATGCCCCGTCGTGATTTACAAATGTCGGCCTTTGCTGAGGGTGACTGTTTCTATTCTCTCTGAGCTGAGGGGTTTCTGTAAAGCAGGCTGTGACTGTGGCAATCTGGAAGCTCTGGTACTGACAAGCTCACCTTTGGGCATGGCAGCAGACTTTCTGTGAGACCCAGTGAGTAGCTCTTAGTTACCTGCACGTGTTAAACTGAGCTGCTGAGGTGGGGCAGGCGGTCCTTGAGGTGAAGCTCAGCCTGTCCCAAAGGAACATTTCTGTGCTCCCAGAAGGTCCCTGTGCAGTTCCTAGCAGTGCATTCCTGAGGTCACAGTGCCTGCTCACAGCTCCCTGCTGCTGCTGCTGCCTGTGCTTCTTGTTGTGCAGCTGTAAAGCTTCTTTTCCTCAAGATGTTGATCTGTGCCTGTATCATCAGGACTGTGCACCACAGAATGGGGACAGGTGCTGCTTCCCAGGTGCCTGAGGGGCCTTTTTGTTAGGAAAGGAAATGCTGTGTGATTCCAGCTACATCTCCAAGCCGAGCTTTGGCTCAGGAACGAGACTCATCGTTCAGCCACGTGAGTGCAAGGCAGTTTCTGTAGGTCTTCCATAGGGCTCCTAGCGATAGATCTTGTGCTCTCTTCCTCTTTTCCATCTCAGAATTGCATTGCTCGAATTTCTAATCTGCCATTGAAGACCCTGACAGTGCCCATGCTGTGGAAGGTAAGGATGCCTTGTGAGCAGAGCAGAACTGGAAGTCTGAATGCTTTTGGGAAAGGTTTCCGGTGTTCTTGGACTGTTCTCTGCACTCACAGTGGTATTCTCATAACTCATCAGGGAGTTGCATTTGTGATGGCAATGTAGAGGACACTTTGGATGGAGTGTGGGGACAGGAGAAGGAGGAGAGTGTTTGGCAGTACCCCTCAGTTTCAGCCCAATCTCACCCCATGCAACCAGCCTGATATCTTCCACTCTTGCTTTGGGATGAGAAAGTACCTCCTCATCTTCTGCTGCCCCTCCATGACCTGGCATGATCAGACTGATCCCTGAGGACCAGTGTTGGTTCTCAAGCATCTGGGTGGGTTTTTTGTTAAGGAAAGCAATGCTGTGTGAATACAGGATCTGGTTTCACAAAGCTAACCTTTGGCACAGGGACCAGACTTTCTGTACAACCACGTGAGTGTGCATCTTCCAAAAGTCTTCCATATGTGCTTCTCCAAACTGATGTAGTTTCATGTTCCACTTACTGATTTTGTGTTTGTTGTGCTGAAAGGCATTCCAGCCACCACAGGTATCGAGAATGCCCTCACTGCTAAAATTAAGGATGTGCTGTGAGCAGAGCTGTGAGTGCTGTAGGAGGGAATGCATGTGGGATAGGGCCATCTGTACTCTTGATCTCTGCTGTGTCACACTGGTATACTCATATCTGGCCAGGGATTTGCCTATCTGATGACAGCATCTGGGACAGCATGGAATGGCTGTGATGTGAGAAGAAAATTTGGGAGTGCGCCTCAGTTACAGCTCCAGCCTCATCCCATACAACCAGCATGGTAACTTCCACTCTTGCTTTGGGATGGGAGGGACGCCCTTACCATTCTGCAGATTCCCCATGATTTAGCATAGTCAGACTAAGCCCTGGGGATCAGTGTTTGTTCTCAAGTGTCTGGTTGGGTTTTTTGTTAAGGAAAGCAATGCTGTGTGAATACAGGATCCAGCTATGCAGGCATTAAATTTGGCTCAGGGACCAGACTCTCCGTCCAACCATGTGAGTACACAGCTTCCATAGTTGTTCCATATGCGCCTTTTCCGGTAGTTTTAATTTTGTGTTCCTACATTAGAGACTTGCAGAGCCGAAATCGTTCTCTGCAATTGCAGGCACCAAGAATGCCATCACAGCTGCAGTTAATGTGTTTCTGCGTGGTGGGAGCGGAGCTGAACCGCAGGTCACTGTGCTTTAGGAAAAGGGTCATGAAAGTGTTGTGGGGATCGTGCTCAGCCAGCCACACTCAGGGCTGCCTTGATATGGGGACAGGAGAGTGTTTGTGCAAGGGCTTGTGTTGCTGTGAGTGTAGGCTGGGGCACCTTCACCTTTGGAGCTGGAACAAAGCTTTGTGTAAAGCCCTGTGAGTGCTGCTGCTGGTATTTGAATCCTTCATCAGGATGCAGATGTACCCAGGGCTATAATCTTAGTCTGTTCGTTATGGAAAAGCTTTCTCAGAGCATGTCTACTCCTATCTTCTGTACAGTTATGGCAAAAGAGATGCAGTGTAGAATGGGAAGAAGGGGAGACAGCAGAATTTTAAATTGTTTCTGGGAATAAGACTGTTTTCAAATGCAGGTCAGCACTGTGGATTGAGAGAAGAACATTCTTCTCTCCAGGAATGTCCCAGGCAGAACTTGCCACTCCTGAGTGAGCACCAGTGCAAGTATCTCCTGGATAAGGGCAGTGTTGGTTCATGATCTGACATGACTTACAAATGTCAATCTTTCTGAGGTTAATTGTTTCCGTTCTGTGAGCTGAGGGGTTTCTGTAAAGCAGGCTGTGACTGTGGCAATCTGGAAGCTCTGGTTTTGGCAAGCTCACCTTTGGGCATGGCAGCAGACTTTCTGTGAGACCCAGTGAGTAGCTCTTAGTTACCTGCATGTGTTAAACTGAGCTGCTGAGGTGGGGCAGGCGGTCCTTGAGGTGAAGCTCAGCCTGTCCCAAAGGAACATTTCTGTGCTCCCAGAAGGTCCCTGTGCAGTTCCTAGCAGTGCATTCCTGAGGTCACAGTGCCTGCTCACAGCTCCCCGCTGCTACCTGTGCTTCTTGTTGTGCAGCTGTAAAGCCTCTGCAGAGCTGCCTGAAGTGTGGCAGGGGAACAGGAGAGTGAGCTCTCCCCATAAATGGGATTCCCCAAGAACTAGAAGTGAGAGTGCTAAACTGCTGTGGGATTCCTGTGCTCGTAGGAGCAATAACTGTTGTAATTGCTTGTGGTTTGTGACAAAGCTGTGAGAGGTGATTGCTTTTGCTCCATTCTTACAACAGACCCAAACTTGTGTTCACTCTTTAACCTTGGCAGCACTATTGCTTTCAGCTGCATGCAGGTGGGCTCCAGCTGAAGTTTCCTGATGTGTTCCTGAAGTCTATGGCTGCAGCTTGATTGTGTAAAGAACATCCCCAAGCCCGTGGGACATAGCAGGACTTCCCTGGTTCAGCTCCTACAGATTGGTGGTCAGAGAGGAGGCATCCACCAATGACCCACTTGAGCAGAAGACATCTGTCAGACTTTGTCATGTTGCACTTGAAGGTGTCCCTTATCCTCTATAAGCAGATCCCGACTTGTGATGGTGACAGATAATTGTTGGCTCCCGACAGATGGTTTTGCTGGAAGGAGCTGTTCTGTTTGAGTTGCTTTGTGCAGGCAGTGGCATGAGAGGTGATGGTTTTTGCTGTGGGGTGACAGGCTGTGTGAGTGCTGGAAACTACAAGGTGGTGCTGGGCACAGGGACGCGCCTGGTTGTGAAGCCCAGTGAGTACAAGTTCTGTCCTGCTTTGTCATTCTGCCGTAGAGGTCAGCACTTTCCGCGTCCCCCAGCGTTCCCTTTCTCCGGTCAGAGCAGGAATGTTCTTGTCTCTGGCAGCCCCCTGAAAGCCCACGGCCTTTCCTGACCTGAGCTCAGCTGGGACCTTCTTTCCCAACTTGAATTACTCTTCCTCAACTAGAATGGGGACAGGTCCTGCCTCAAAAGACCTGGGTGAGCTTTTTGTTAGGGAAGGAAATGCTGTGTGATTATAACTCTGGCACTGAGCTGACCTTTGGCACAGGGACCAGACTCTCCGTCCGACCCCGTGAGTATACAGCTTCCATAGGTTTTCCATATGTATCTTTTCCAATCTATATAATTTTATTTTCCTATTTTGACTACAGAGTTGCGGAGCTGAAATCAATTCAGCACCTTGGCAGGTTTTGAGTATACCCCTTGCTGCTCTATTTAATGTGGTTCCGCACGGTGGGAGCAGATCTAAATTGGAGGTCTGCATGTTTTTGGGAAAAGCTCAGATGAGGTTTGCTGGGAAAGGGCTCAACCAACCACACAAGGGCTGCTTGGTCATGGGGAGAGGAGAGTGTTTGCGTAAGGGCTTGTGTTGCTGTGAGTGATGGCTTGAGCAGGCTGACCTTTGGAGCAGGAACAAAACTTTGTATAAAGCCCTGTGAGTACTGCTGGTGTTGTTTTCAAGCCATGGACGTTGGTCAAGAAATACCCAAGATAATAATGTTTCTGTATTGGTTAGCAGAGGCTTCTAGTATGTATGAATGATTGTTTGTCTTCTGTTATGGTTATGGCAAAAGAGATTCAGGGTAGAAGGAGAGACAAAGCAGAATTTTACACTGAGTCAGGACAGAAGACTGTTTTCTAAGGCAGGTCAGTGCTGTGGATTGAGAGAAGAACATTCTTCTCTCCAGGAATGTCCCAGGCAGAACTTGCCACTCCTGAGTGAGCACCAGGGCAAGTATCTCCTGGATAAGGGCACACGGCAGTGCCAATAATTTTTGGGATTGACGTGAGAGGAAGGACCTTGTAGATCTCACAGGAATGCTGACATTTGTTTTTCACCATTTATTTCTTACTCCATCACAAGTTAAAATGTCAACCTCCTGTACGGGTGACAGTATTTCTTCTCTCTGAGCTGAGAGGTTTCTGTAAAGCAGGCTGTGACTGTGGCAATTTGGAGGCTCTGGTACTGGCAAGCTCACCTTTGGGCATGGCAGCAGACTTTCTGTGAGACCCAGTGAGTAGCTCTTAGTTACCTGCACGTGTTAAACTGAGCTGCTGAGGTGGGGCAGGCGGTCATGAAGGTGAAGCTCAGCCTGTCCCAAAGGAACATTTCTGTGCTCCCAGAAGGTCCCTGTGCGGTTCCTAGCAGTGCATTCCTGAGGTCACAGTGCCTGCTCACAGCTCCCCGCTGCTGCCTGTGCTTGTTGTTGTGCAGCTGTAAAGCCTCTGCAGAGCTGCCTGAAGTGTGGCAGGGGAACAGGAGAGTGAGCTCTGGGCATGGCAAAGTGCTCTCTGTGAATGCCCAGCTGGGTGCTGGCTGTTTCCTTACCCTGCAGCCCGAGCACTGGATTGGTTTCCCACTTGGTGCTTGTTGCAGGATGATTCCTGTGTGGAACGGTCCAAAGAGCTTGACCAGAAAGGCATCCTAATGTGGAGTCAGAGGCAGAGGGCAGGGGTAACATCTGCTGTCCCTCTGCATTTTTCTGGGGCACCCGGCTCTGTTTCTGGAGTGTAGGGTTGTCTGTAGTATTTGCCATTGGTGTGTCAGGGTGTGAGTTCAGCATCCAGCAGGAAGGTGACCTTTGGAGGGGGGACACAACTGGCACTGAGACCTGGTAGGTAGAAAGCCAGCTTGAATGAGAAAGGATAGGAAGGTTGCATTCCCTCCTTTGGTAAATCCAGCTGTACTGCTTTGGAAACTGCTCTCCGCAGGGATGGAGTCTGTGTGTGTCTTTGCTCACGTACGTGTGTGCGTTGGGCTTTGCAGTCAGCTGTTGGTAAGGCACGCTGTGAGCAGTACGTCCAGGGAAAGGGTCTGATTGTAACACTGATCCAGCTCTGAGCGTGGAACTCCTGAGGCTTTCCCAGGGCTGAGCTCAGCTGGGTTCTTCTTTCCAACTTAAATTGCTCTTCCTCCAGTCATGGTTCTGCGCCTGGTTTGTCTGGAGAGTGCTCCACTGAATGAGAGCACAGGCGCTGCCTCTGAAGCTCCTGTGTGAGCTTTTTGTTAGGGAAGGAAATGCTGTGTGATTCTGGCTACGGCTCCGACAAGCTGACCTTTGGCTCAGGGACCAGGCTTTCTGTTCAACCATGTGAGTGCCCATTTCCTAAAGGTCTTCCATGGGAATTTCTTCAAATAGATGTAGTTTTGTTTTCTTGTTTCTTGGCCTTTTGATTTCATGTTTGTTGGACTGAAAGGCTTTATCTGTCACTACTGGCTTCAAGAATGCCTTCTTTGCCAAAATTACAGATGCGTTGTGAGCAGAGCTGAGCTAAGATATAGTTTAAATATCAGGGGGAAGTTCTTTGCTAAGAGACGGTGAGGTGCTGGAAGAGGCTGCCCTGAGAGGTTCTGGACGCTCCATCCCTGCAGGGGTTCAACACAAGGTTGGAAGGAGCCCTGGGCTGCCGGGTCTGGTATTAGATATGGATGTTGGTGGTCCTGCACGCTGCAGGGCGTTTGGAGCGTGATGATCCTTGAGGGCCCTTCCAGCCCAAGCCATTCTATGGTTCTATGAATCACTGATACTTTCTCAACTTAAACCGTTCCTCCTGAACTCATGGATCAGGGCCTGGATTGTCTCAAGAGTGCACCACAGGATGGGGATAGGTGCTGCCTCTCAAATGCCTGTGTGGGCTTTTTGTTTGGAAAGGAAATACTGTGTGATTCTAACTCCAACGCTGGCAAGCTGAACTTCGGCTCAGGGACCAGACTTTCTGTACAACCATGTGAGTGTGCTTTTTCAAACAGTCTTCCATAGGTGCTTTTTGCAGGAGATGTAATGCAGTGTTAATCCTTTTATTACAGCTTTGTGAGCTGGAACCCTTCTCTGCCATTGCAGGCTGTGAGAATGCTCTTGCTGCAGAAAATAAGTGAGCAGAGCTCCCTTATGTTGTGAGCAGAGCTGAACTGGAGGTCTGAATGCTTTTGGGAAAGGGTACTCAGAGCTCTCAGTCTGTGCTGTGTCTCACTGGCATTCTCACATCTTGTCAGGGATTTGTCTTTGTGATGGCAGCCTCTGGGACAGATGGATGGGGTGGTGATGAGAGGAGGAGGGGAAGAAAGTTGTGGGTGCTCCAACATTACAGCTCCAGCCTCATCCCATGCAACCAGCGTGGTAACTTCCACTTTTGCTTTCGGATGAGAAGGTCCCTGATGACCCTTCTGCTGCCCCTCTGTGACTTGGCATGGTCAGACTAATGCTTGGGGACCAGTGTTTATTCACAAGGGCTGGGTGGGCTTTTTGTTAAGGAAAGCAATGCTGTGTGAATACAGGAGCTGATGTCACAAAGCTAACCTTTGGCACAGGGACCAGACTCTCTGTCCAACCCCGTGAGTATCCAGCATTCATAGGTCTTCCATAGGTGTCTTGTCCAATAGGTGTAATTTGATTCCCATTATGATTTCAGGCTTGCAGATCTCAAATGCCTTCTTTGCCACTGCTGGCTCCAAGAATCCCCTCACTGCTGCAGTTAATGTGTTTGTGTGTGGTGGTAGCAGTGCTGAAATGCAGGTCTAAGCTTTTGGAATGGGCCACACAAATGTTCATTAGGAGGGGCTGGGACAGCCACAAGAAGGGCTGCCTTGTTATGGGCAGAGGGGGTGTTTGTGTAAGGACCTGTGTTGCTGTGAGTGATGGAGCAAGAAGGTTCACCTTTGGGGTTGGAACAAAGCTTTGTGTAAAGCCCTGTGAGTACTGCTGGTGTTAATTTGTACTCTTCTGCGGTAACACAGAAAGACAGAATGACAATAATGTCAGCATA